GCTGTCACTCTGGATTGTGATTTATGAGGCATGAAAAATGGTGTTCCACCATATTTCCGTTACATATGTAGGCGTGTAGTTGTGATAATCTCAATAAAACAGAAGTTAATATGGCTTAATATCATTATCAAATCGTCTGTTATTTAATTATTTAAATATATATCCAACACGTTTCAAAGCAAAGAAACATGCACCAACCATCTTCCCTTAGCTTGTAATGAGAAGCACTTATAAATTGGCTTTTGTCAACAAAAGAGATTTTTTTTTTCTTGATTTTTTTATTTTAAAGTGAAATATTGCAAAATTAATATTTATTTTGTCATATTTTTATTTAGTAATAATATAATGCAGTGTATTGCATTATACAATTTGTCCAGCCTACAAACACAGTAAACCTTTTTATTGAATTTGAAATCACAAACACAGTTTTTATCAGACAAATTGCAATTAGATTTTTCACCAAAGTGAAAAATATATAGCTTTGTGTGATTTATAATTTACTCCATGAAATACCTGCCATACTCTTGGCAGTTCTTTGTTTATAGTCATGTAATTGAGATAACTGGTCATTGTGGTAGAGCTACTGCATAAAAAACACAGGACTGAATGAATCACTTATCATTTTGGTTTGAACAAAAATCTTTACAGAATTGCACAAGAAAAACCTGCTTATATTTTAGCCACTATTTTCAAAAGTCATATTTCTGGTAGTTTCAGACTTAGAAATGCTTTTGGGAAGTGTTTAGTCAGTGATTTGTAGAGAAAGAAAGAAGCAAAGCATATTTTTTGACTGTGTTTTACAGAACAGCAGTACAGGAAGTGCATAGGCAGTATTGTGGTTTTTGACACTTTTTCATTGTGAGAAATAAAGACAAGCTGATAATGTTTTGTTAAACTCACAGAGATTTAAGACTGGAATAAATTCCAACATTCATTCACAAATCAGTCATGCTAATTTAAAGATGTGTCCATGACAAACTAAGTTAACTAACCAAGCTATCCAACCTTAAAAGGGTCCTATTATGCTCTTTTACAAAGTCTTGATTTTGTTTTGGGGGTGTACTAGAACATGCTCTCATGCTTGGTGGTTCGAAAAACGCATTATTTTTCATAATTTACATTATTACAACACCTCTCTCCCCAGGTTGGCACAAACGGCTCGATTAGTTCCGACTTTGATGAAGGTCCGCCTTCCGAAAAACAAAATGTGTTGTGATTGGTTAGCTTTCCCAGTGCGTTGTGATTGGCGAACAGCTTAGACGGTGTTTCAGTACTGCCATGCCTCTTGCTCTGTCTTTCAACAAAAGCTTTTGGCGAATCCGGCACTTCTCACTCGTGATGTGGAAGCTGTCCTCAGTAAAATGCGCAGCACACAATAGCAAATTGGGGTTATAATGCTCAGGAACAGAGTTAAAAAGTAAATTGCAACCACTGTTTCCTGACATCATCCGCTTTTCAGGTGTCGCACACTGGACGAGAAGCGCAGCGTTGTGCCATTGTGCCATTTTCTATGAGTGTAGGCACACCGGCGCCGCCGTTCGGCGTCTGTCAATTTGAGGCTACAGCACAGCAGCTCTTCTTCTTGGTTTTCTCTGACGCACTAACTCTGCAGCAGCACTTCTTCATCGTCTCGTCTGATGCGCTCACTTAACCAAGCGTTCTAACCACGACCTCGCCCCTCACCACCCCCCAACCATTCCAATTTCTGTAGGCGGGAATTCTTTGTAATGAAATTCTAATGAGCCGCTTTGTGATATCACAAAGCCCGGAAACCAAACGCTGTAGTCCAAACAAGCCGTTTGCTGTAGTTCTTGAAAATTGATTTTTTAAAAACTAAATATCTCCCTTTGGAGTGAACTTTGAGATTTGTAACTTTCTAGATATTTTTATGCCCAAACATACACACTACACACTGACTAAAATGTAAAAAGTGAAAAAGCATAATGGGACCCCTTTAAGGCCCTTTCACAAGACTCGCTATGGAGGGAAGCATTAAGATTAGCTGCATTGCAGGTCAACGATAAAGGCTTGGCAATTTTGTATTCTTTTCGAGAGGTCTTTTACAATCTACCCAGCAATGGTTTCAAAGCCTTTAGAATTTCTCAAGAGATCTCGCATCACTTTAAAGAAGAGAACGCTCATCAGATCTCAAGTTTCGGGTTGTGCACATATAGGTGATCTCTGGCTGACGTAGAATGAAGTGCATGTCCTAATTAGGCTTTAGTTGAGGTCATCTTCTCTTTCAGTCTGTCTGTCACTTTAAAGACAAGTTCACCACTGTGTCCTGGGGATCTAAGTATGAACTTTGATTCAAATTGAATTAACAAGTATGTAGGGTAAGCGCAATTTATAAGTGTAATTTAAACCTTGTGATGCAAAGCTGAATTTTCAGCATCATTACTCCAGTCTTTAGTGTCACATGATCCTTCAGAAATCATTCTAATATGCTGATTTGCTGCTCAAGAATCACTTTTTGTTATTGTCCCAGTTGAAAACAGTTGTGCTGCTGCTTGTTTTTGTGCACAAACTGTGATGCATGCTTTTCAGGATTCTTTAAAAAAAAAAGCATTTATTTGAAATGGAAATGATTTTTATCATTGTAAATTTCTTCACTGTCATTTAATCAATTTAATGCATCCTTAGTGAATGAAAGTATTGATTTATCTCAAAATAAATAAATGAATATAAATAAAATGGAAAAATGTATGTGAATGTAATTGAAAGGGTGTTAGAATAGGAGTTTTGAAACAAAGAGACAATTTACATTGTGTTGTATCCCACTGGTGCTATCTGTGTCTTTCTTTCTCTTTCAGAAGAGGATAGGCTACTGTTTCCGGTGACAGGCTATGGTTTGAATGACTGCAGGGATGAGTATAGCAACCCAAGGCCATCCCCAGTTGCAGGTGGCTGGATAGGTGCTGACCAAGAAGAGGAAGCATTGCGCAGGAAGTTAAAATATTTCTTCATGAGTCCCTGTGAAAAGTACCAAGCCAAAGGCCGAAAACCTTTTAAACTTGTTTTGCAAATACTGAAGATTCTTATAGTAACTATACAGGTATTTAAAATGAATCTCTTTTCTTAGAATTTCTTTCTAGTGTTATTTTCTTTCTACAGCTTATATACTCACTAAAGTTAGCATTGCAGCTCAAAGTCTCAGTTTTACCCCCAAATTATTCTTTAACCACTATGATGTGCCCTACTGTGGGCCCATCTAAATTAACCTTTGGTTCTGCACTCTGAAGTATCACAGAGTTTCATAGGTTGGCTAGTAAGCATTAATTAGTCTTGTAGAGTTTTAAGCCACACTTTGAAACCAAGATCCCATCGTTCAGTGCTCACTGAAAGGACATTTTTAAAATGTGGCCTTTACAAAATATTCAGCTGACTGATACACAAGAATAAATAAAATAAATAGAATAACAAAACTATGAGTGTGTGTGTGTGTGCATATATACAGTAAAGCAATAGTTAGAAAGCAATACATTAGTATCTATTTTATGTATGCATATATAAAACTTATTTGGAGGAAACTAGAAAAAAATATATATACACGCATACATATGTTACATTTTTTCTTGTTTCCTCTCAAAAAGTATTATATACATAAAATAGATATTGATTTATTGCTTATAATAATACATTAATATTTATATAATAATAATATGTATGTAATATTATGTAATTTGATATTTATATTTAAAAAGTATATATATATATATACAACCAATTTTTGGTCTCATTTGGCTCTTTAATAAATTGTTATTAAAATAAACAATTTCTCTCTTTTTTGCTGTTTCATTATCTCTAGCTGGTACTTTTTGGCTTAAGCAATGAGATGGCGGTGACGTTTAAGGAGGAAAACACAGCCTCGTTTAAACACCTTTTTCTCAAAGACTATGATGATTCAAATGATGCACTTGCTGTTTACACACAGGGTGATGTTTATGACCACATGTTTTACACAATAGAACAGGTAATGTATCAATTTGCTAATTCATATATTTTGATGGATATATTTGGGTAGTGAGCACAGAGTAGTCATAGCACAAGTTGACTTACATTTAATCTGTCTTTTAAAAGAATCTTATTTTTTTTTGTCTGTAAAACTTAAAAAAAAGTATATTTTTAATTATTTTTCAAATGTATATGTTTATGAAAAACCATATTACTCTTCTATAGAAGCTATTCTGCCTTTCCCAGCTGGAGTTTGGTCATGTGTGGTCATGTTTATTTTTTATCGACTTATATAACACCAATTCTTTTCACTTGTCTTTCAGTACCTGGCTTTGCCAGAGAAGACAGTGGGCCGTTATGCGTATGTGTATAATGTCGGTGTGAATGGAAGTGCGCTCTCTCTGTGTCAACAGTATTATAAAAAAGGCAGGATTGACCCAGCTAACGACACCTTCAACATCGATCCGCATGTGGTCACAAGTGAGTTTTCCAGCCTCTTTTTTTCCTCCCAGTTTGTTCCTGTTCTTATTTTAGTTATTGTTTTAACCAGAACAGATGTTAGGATCAAGGCAAAGGTTTAATGAACTTGAAATATAGATTTTCTAGCACTTATAAATGCTCCAATTATAAAAAAGGCAGGATTGACCCAGCTAACGACACCTTCAACATCGATCCGCATGTGGTCACAAGTGAGTTTTCCAGCCTCTTTTTTCCTCCCAGTTTGTTCCTGTTCTTATTTTAGTTATTGTTTTAACCAGAACAGATGTTAGGATCAAGGCAAAGGTTTAATGAACTTGAAATATAGATTTTCTAGCACTTATAAATGCTCCGGTTACTTACATAATCTCGGTTCCCTGAGGAAAGAGCGTTGCGTTAATCACACTATGGGGAAACTCCTGTTTACTCTGATACTGAAGCCTGATTTGATCACGCTCTTGTAGCTGCACGAACTAATGGTGCTTCAGCCCACCAAAAGGGGTGGAGCTGACTGCTATATAAGTCGGCTCTGAGTGCCATTTCATCAGAATATTTCGACTGAAGCGACAGTCGTCAACTCGCATGCAGCCTTATAGCACGGCAGCTCACGCAATGCCGTTCCCTTATCTCAGGGAACTGAGGTTACGTAAGTAACCAGGTTTGACCAGGAGCTTAACGCCGGTCTGCCCTCGTACAGAGCTCCCCAACCCGAGTTGGAGGCATCTGTCGTGACCACCTTCCTTCTGGAGGTCAGGCAAGAAGTTTTCCAAGGGGCCGAGCATCCTCTGGAAACCCCTGAAGGAATGTGAAGTCCCCAGCTTGAATGATGTCTCTAGCCGCTGAACTATCAGGGAGCGTTCCGGGTAATCCATGCCCGCACCTTGGTGCTGTCCCCAGAAAGACTACTCGCTGACTGGAAGACAAGCTTTAACTCTTGGCTAAATTGATTTTCAACCCAAGACGCTCCTGGTGGCTGAGCAGCAGCAACCTGTGAGCGATGAGTTCCCATTCTGATCTGGCTAAAACCAGCCAATCGTCGAGGTAATTCAAGATGCGCATTCCCATCTGTCTCGGAGGGGAGATAGCCTACACACTTCATAAAAGTGCGTGGGGCCAGAGACAATCTGAATGGCAGGACTGTATATTGATAGGCCACTCCCTCGAATGCGAATCTCAAGAACGTTCTGTGCTGGGGGGCTGTCTGGATGTGAAACTAAGTCTTTCAGACCCACCAATATAAACCAGTCCCATACTTGCACAAGGATCTGTTTCAAAGTCAGCATCTTGAATGGCCGTCTCATGGCTGAGATCGAGAATGGGCCTGAGCCCGCCATCTTTTTTGGGAACGAGGAAGTAGCATCTGTAAAAGCCCAACTCGCTGTTCGCTAGAGGAACTGTTTCTACGGCTCCCTTTGCATGCAACGTTTGCACTATGGAACATGAGCATCGCTGTCCCGTACCGAAGTTTGAATAATACCTCTTAAGCAAGGTGGACTGCGAGCGAATTGAAGCGAGTAACCTCGTTCTATGATGTTTAGAACCCAACTTGACATATCCGGGATAGCATGCCTGAAGCCGGATGGCAAGTGGTCTGAGATTTTCATGCATTGTTGAGCATAGGGATGGAGAGCGGGCGTGAGACTTCTTCAGTGAGACTCAAGCTCTCGCAGTGAGAACATTCTGCCTCGGTGAGCACAGCCTCTGCGTGGGCGCTGTCCAGACAGGCGATGCATTCACCGTACCCATCTGCATCGTGCAGGGGTTACCTGCATAAGCCACACTTGCGGCACGACATTTGCAACAACGTTGCAGTGGAAATTTGCTCAGAAAATATGCTCTTTTTTAGAAGCCGGATGGTCACAGGGGAATGCGTCAAGCTTCTTTCGCTGCCGGTGGCTTCTTCTCATGGCGGTGAGCAGGAGGCTGAGCTTCTTTCTTCTCTTCTCTTCGGCTTCTTGCTTGCAGAGTCAGCAGAGAAAATTGTGACGAAATGGCACTAAGAGCTGACTTATATAGCAGTCAGTGCCACCCCTTTTGGTGGTTTGAAGCATCATTGGTTTGTGCAGCTCCACGAATGTGTTCAAATCAGGCTTCAGTATCAGAGTAAACAGGAGTCTCCCCATAGTGTGATTAGCGCAATGGGAGAGACCGTTCGAAAGGGAACTCATTTTTTGGTTTGTTTATTAGTCGATGAACTTGATGAAACTAAAAGATCTTGTTATTTCCTCTTTTGCACATTGTTTTGCACTTGCAGTTCCTTGTTACTGGGTGTACCACAGGAATCACTTTCTAATGTAAATCTAAAAGAAATCT